TCTTATATACACAATTTGCACTTCATCATCTACACTATCCTCTGCACTACATCCACCATACTCATTTACACTACACTATCATCTACATAGTTACCAGGCAAAGGTAACCAGTATGCACTTTAGTTTTCTCCGTTAAAACTATAGTGTGTACTGTAGATGATAGTGTAGTTGGTGTAGTGTAGATTGTAGATGATAGTGTAGCGCATGTAGTTTACACTGTAGATAGATAGAGAGATATAGATAGATAGATAGAGAGCTAGAGATAGATGCAGATACATGCCGTATATACTGAAGATAAAAATAGATAAATTGATAAACAAAATAATAGACAGATACATAAATAAATAAATAAATAGACGGACAGAAAGATAAAGATAAATACACAGATAGATAAATAGACTCCTGTAGTGTCTCAGAGGAGTAACTGTCCATTAGACGACCCCCTCCCCCCCCCCCAACCCCCCAGCACCGCCAGCAGTAGTAGTTACAGTAGGTGTCTTCAGGTAATAACCAGTGAGTAGCTCCTCTTCGTGTACAAAGTCTCCCACAGGTTTAGTCAGCCCTTCACTGTGACGATCGAGTATAATTCATCCATTTAAGTTCCTGCCGGTACCCACGACTCTGCCAGGGGCGTGGGGCTTCTAGGGTGCTGATGAGGGTGGAAGGTGTCATGGAGGTATGGAGTGTGAGGTGCTTTTTAAATCGAGTAGAGGTATGTGTAACTCAGAATGTGTGTGTGTGTGTGTAATTGGCAAGTAGTATGGAGTGAGTGTAATTGGGTAAGGAGTATGAAGTGTTTGTGTATATTAATGGGATGGAGTAATGAGTTTGTGCATTTGGGGAAGAAGTGTGGATGTGTGTAATAGGGAGGAAGTATGGGAAATGAGTATGATTGGGGATTATGTAATGATTATGTGTAATTGGGAAGGGATGTAGAGTTTGTGTATGAAATAGGGAAGAGGTATAAGAAGCGCATTTGTATAATAGGAAAGTTGAAGCAAATATTACAAAACTGTGGATTAAAATTAGTAAGAAATCTGAATGAGGGGAAGGTGGTGTGGTTGTGAGAGAGATGGTGTAGTTGTGAGGGAGGTGGATGTGGCCCTGAAGGATATATAGTGTGGCTCTGAAGGTGAGCCGATGAGTAATACAGTAGTGTGGTGAGAGCAGGAGGATTAGGACAACGACCCGCGGGGGAGAGTTGCAGTGTGTAAGGCTGGTGGGTCTCCTGGGACATACGGGACGAGTGTAAACAAAGACAGATGGCAGTGTCTGTATGTAATGCTTATTATTACTGTACAGGGAATTGAAATATGAGAGCATTATAGTTTTGACAGTTTCTCTGATAGTTAATTTTGTAAGTCGTATATCGATCGTTATTTGACACCAGCCTGAAGCGCGTGCCACTAGGATGTGATTTTCGAAAGGGGTAAATTCTATGGTTGCTGCCTTGTGTGTTTGTATTTATTTATTTCCTATTTGGTTATCTGGGTGATATCTCAAGTATTTTACGGGGTAGAAGGCTGAGATTTAGACAAGATAACAGGTGCTATGAGGTTTTTTTTTATAATTTGTTCATGGCAATTCTTCTTTGTATGTAATTAACTTCTTACAAATTTGTATATCAAATCCACATTCATGCGTGCTTACACTCGGTAGGAGTTCGATAGCGTATTGACATCAACACTTACGGAGGTATTGAGGCCGGATGTGTCACTGTTTAATCCACCAAAATATTAGTTTCGCAAAAAAACTTTTCCTTCGTCTTGAATGAAAATTTATACACTCCTTATATAAAAAGGTTGAGCAAGGTGATTAAATTTGGGTTCCAACTGGGCCAAGGTCATAGTAACAACCGAGGTCAAATTTGTGTGGCTAAGAAGTGTGTGGGAGCGGCTGCAGAATGTGACCAACAAAGTATTTATGCAATTTAGGCCAATACCTTGTCAAATAACTTAGTGAGTAATTCAGTATTAGGGCGGAATGGAGTCAGTATTTGGAAGAGTCGGGGAGGAACTTAATCTCAGGATTTTAAAGATGGATATTTTTCATGTCCAGGAAGTGTATCGTTTAGGTAAAGAGAAAGTGATTAGCTGGACAGGCAGGAAGGAGGTATTGACTCAATCAACATGTAATAAACCCGAGATATTTACCCAAGTATGTACAGTGTGCAAATAAACCCTAAGATGTAGGAAGGAATAGGAGAAACTAACAGTGAGTGAGAGAGGAATTTAACCTTAACAGTGTGAGGTATAGTGTCAACCTATTGAATGACGTCACCCTGCAGTGGCCGGGCAGTAGCCTCGTGTCTCCCAAGGCCGGACATTCTCCCACCTGACTTGTGGAACGAATCATGGCTAGGCAGGCTACCAGGGTGAGATATTTCCGCTCGTCGCGACAAGTTTTGTAATCATGAATCAATTCTTCGTCTTGCCAAATGTTGCGATTTTACTTATATCGAAAAATTGTTTCAATAGTTGTATTCAAATATATACTGAATGTGAAGGTGTAAACGCACATATTTTTTTTTAAACTGTAAAATGTCTGGTTCAAGTGATGTAGTATATCCAGACTCCCCACATATCTCTTAATTCAATATTTTAGGAGAATCTGCCCGGGGCCGACTGCCCGTGTCCCATCCCCTGTTACTGTCTTTTAGTACGGTACAACATTTGAGAGTCCGTGAGTGATGCCCTGGTGATCGTTGACACTAACCACTCACTGTAACTCTCCTGCAGTAAAACCTCTTCGTTCTTAATCATCCAGAACCCTTTGGAAGTTTAGTGTCCATAACTATATTTTTACCTACCGATATAAGGGCTCAAGGATGTCTGTTTTGGTTTTTTTTGCCTGTTTTTGTTTTCATGTTTATCCAGTATACGTGCCCAGTCATGTATTGGGCCAGACTGGGCAGGGTGAAGAACAATGTCCGTTCCTTGTTTTAACCAGTGTTGTAGACTCGGTAGGTGTCTTATACTTGTTCCGAGACGAGAAATCCACCAGGCTTTTGTGATTTCCTCGTCTAATTTTTTTTTACCTTTTTGTTAAGCTACATAGAAGCATACTGAATTTATTAAAGGCATCAGCTAAGAAAAATCACTAATTTCATACTTATCAAGAACTTTAACAAATTTATCACCAATATTCTACATTGTCATGAACTCTTGACACATTCACCAAGTACGTTAAGTTCCCAAACTGAGATAATTAGTGAGAACGGTGAAAGTCGGTTTTATTTCTCCATTGTATTAAGAAAAAAAGCTATTAAACTGACGAATGTGAGAATGTGTGCTGGTAATTTATGAATGTCGACATAGGTTAAATGAATATGAATTTAATTAATTTTTATGTTTCCTATTAGTAGACTATCTCCACTAACCCCTTCACACTTGTCATATTTTATTTGGCTGACGACACACGGCATTATCCACACAAGGAGTCAATATACTTAACATTCACAAATAAACGTAAAATAAAATCTCTAAACCAAAAGTTATATAGATAGTAATACCGCTTAAATATACACCTATAAGTATCTATTTAATGAAAGGATAAAATCAGAGGAATGACTAGTCTTCACGAGGCAAGAGACTAATTCTTGAAATCAACTTCAGTCACATGATGGAGGAAATATCACATCACGTTGTACAGGTTGAGTCATATTATGTGAGAACCTCTGAATTATTACTCATCATCCTGACTAATATTTTCCTTAATATAATATAATAAAAAATTAAGAATATATCATGTAGTTGGTGTAACTCAGAACCTAAACTATGAATATATATACTTGGTGCAATTCGAAAGGCTGCTAACCCCTCCCTCTCCCACACCTTTACCACTCTCCACTAAAATCAATTTAATATCTAATTTCTCTTTGGAAGTTTCACCCCGTACATCACCGTGGACCTGTTTCAACGAACCCAACACTTCTTCACTAACACGTTTAAAGATGTATCAGACGAGTAAAGTACTGTTAATTAGCTTCCATTAGTTCCCTGGGTGATCACACACTTTGGCGCTCAACAAGAAAATGTCGTCTAGTGTGAAAGGCAAACAGGATATTCAAGTAGGTTCCTCAAATGCTCTTGATTACCAGTGTCGTTTGGGCTAATTATTGGAGTATTCAGTCTTAGTTTTTTGTGGGTACATTTAGCGGCTTCATGGCCAGGGTCTCTAAATACCGTTCATAGTCCTGGTTTTTTTTTTTTTACTGAAGATAATAACAGCCAAGAATATATTTTCAGTATAAATAAATCAAAATTCACTGGTTAAAAGACTAAATTTTGTCAGTTATATATGATTCCTTGAATAAAGTAGCGATAGTATTTATAAATCGTAGGTTTGTTGTAATGTTTGCCATAAACAATTTCCGGGTAAGTTAAGCAGTAAATAATATCAATGGAATATACTGTATATCTGTTTTCAGTACAGCTGAAAAAAATAATCAAACTCAAGCTATTTCCATTATTATTATTAATATTGTTATAGTATATAGTTAACGTCGTCAGTTTTTTAATCAGCGGTACATCCATGGGTCATCCACTTAAGAAAGTGCTTGATTTTCACTTTGAAAGGGTAGGTCGCACAGTGACTTTTACTTCCCATTCTAGTAAGATGTGTTTTTACTACATCAGAAAGAAGTGACATTTATAATTGTGTACTCTTACGTCTGTGTTTGGTATTGTAAGTAATATAAAATGATCCTGTGCTTACGACCACTTAACCTTACACCACCATCTCTTGCGTCTCCCCTGGCGGGTGTAACAATCTTCATGTAACCAATATTTTATTTTCTCTGCAGTGGTCTGGCATATTATTACGCGTACAATTTATTGATTATTAAATTTATGTAGTTTTGTGTGCTTAAAGTTATAGGGGAATTAAAAGAATACCTTTTCATCGTCGTATTGTTGACAGTACGACAACGTTTCCCTCGGCAACGGCAACACTCTCCACTCCCCACAGAAAATACCTGTCAACGCCAGTTGTCGGATAACTGCCACGGAGTAAGGGTGTATCGATCTGTATGAAAAATTATTTGTGAGAGAGTGCGGTAACTAGTTTTGACGGGGTATTTTTTTCTGCCATTACAAGTGAATTGGAGTAGCGTCCTGTATTGTGAGTCATATGGGAATGAAGATTAACTCGGCCAGGGATGTTTATTTAAAGACTACGAACTTGAAAAATAATTTTCGGTATATACAGTATTTCCGAATACTCACATTGATTTACTAATGTGAAAATTCATCTGCTTGGATACCTACTACGCGGGAAACGACGCCACATTTTCGTATTCAAGGTAAGCTTACTCCTGGGCAAAGTATACCAGAATATATACAAGTGTGGTGAGAATTTTGCAAAGAGGGCAGCAAGGTAAAGGTTAGAAGTTAGTGAAGAATCCTAAAGCAGAATACGTTTAGTCTCCTTGAATGTCTGAGAGGTTTTGTGGCCATCTAAAGAACAGTGAAGGGGGTATTCAGCATAACAGGATTCATTAAACTATTAATTAACGTCAGTGGTACGAGACGAGGTAACGAGCAGCGACAAAAGAAAAGAAAAAATATCATACCATTTTAGGCTTGTCCTCCAGACCAACACAATTCTCACCGAACACCACAGAGGATGTTTGTCATTGTGGAGTGTGTGTGGAGGCAATTGGGCGAGGTTTGGCACCAACAATATATCGACGTCATCGCTATCAGGTTAACCGATCAAAATGAAGGGACATAAGATAAGTATCTTTCATACTAGAGCAGTGGTCGTAACACACTTTGTTTATTGATCCTGTAGTTAAGTCGGCTAACCTTTATTTCACGTAATCTTAGTAAATTGTGTAGTTGCTTAGGATGAATGTTTATCCTCAAATGTGTCTGGGGGCAGATGCTCCCATGAAGGTATCCAAGTGTTTGTAATGGTTTCCTAGACACTACAGAGATTTTCTTAGGGAAGCCCACGGGTAGGTCCCTTGAGACCTAGCGTCGCTCTGCCCTCCCCTCCATCCACCTCCCCCTTGGGCCTCGCCGCACAATATATCAGCATGACCAGCTAGATATTTGTCTTATTATCGTGACCACATATATACATACGGACGGGTGCATATGATGTACCTAATTGTGTAATAATCACTTGTCTTACGGAATAAAATAAGTCCCGAGTCTGGATGGTTGATATTCGGGCTATCCCCACCTCGGACTAAGCTAGGATGCCATTCGGTCAATAGTTAATGATAAACGCTAATTTCAGAATATTAAATAACCACAGGTTCTTTGTAATAATTCTGAAACTGTTCCGTTTAAAGTTGGTTCCTCTCGTGTTGTAATTTGGGAGATATGTTTACAGAAGTGTCGCAAACTGAGAGGAGAATGTGTGAGCGAGCATATGGTATTGTGGCCATGTGTGAGAGCTGCTGTTCTCTGCCGGGGGCGAAAGGCGGCGGGCGGTAGGACCTGTGTTTATGTGTAGACTGTTGAGGATCCTGCTAGAATCTGCCCTTTGTGGAAGGTCGATGCTCCGTCGCTATCCACGTCTGCAATGTCAAGTTTTATGAAGTGGATTAGATTTATGTACTTAGGTGAATTAGATGTCAAGTAGAGTGGCGTACATGTAAAATAGGGTTTTCAGACTGTACAAGGCTGCCGGCACAGGTCCGGCTCTCAAAGTATATTACGTTAGTCAGGTATGCATTATCTTTATTCTAAATAAACGGCTGAATAATTCTACGTTACATCAACCATTCTGTTGTAGTTTTTGTAGAGTTTATTGGAATTTGTCCTCGTTATCTCAAGAAGTGCTACAAGTAACGCAGATGGACTTAGCGATGAGAACAATCCTGAAGACAGACAAGATCATAAATACAAGAAATGAACAACAGTTTAGATCAGGGGTAAATAAATACGTAGTTTTTTATTGTTAATTTTACAAGCATTATTGAGTATTATAGTTGAACCTTTTCAGTAGCCTAAGAATGATATTGTACGGTACCAACTTCTTACTGCTTTATGTTTATTTAGAATGAATTTACAATATTTTAAAGATAACCTGTATTTGAGGGAGTGTTTTGTCCGGTCCGACTAATTACCCAAATATAGCCGCAATGAAGTCAAATAATGGTCCTACATGAATAAATCGGACTGCTAATCACTTCTCGACTAGTATTTGGTGTCAGAAGTCACAAAAAATTGGAAAACTTACTTTAATCTGAGTTAATAGATCGTGTGCATGTACCGAGGGAGCGAGGAATTACCCAAATGTAGCCGCAATGAAGTCAAATGATGGTCGTACAAGCGTAATTCGGGCTGTGAATCACTTCTCGATTATTATTTGGTGTCAGTCAAAAAAAATTGGTAAACTTAATTTAATCCGAGTTGTGTTTTGTTAGGTTAGGTTAGGTACATGCACTTGATCTATTAACTCAGATTAAATTAAGTTTACCAATTTTTTGTGACTTCGTGACACTAAATACTAGTCGAGAAGTGATTGGCAGTCCGATTTATTCATCCAGGACCATTATTTGACTTCATTGCGACTACATTTGGGTAATTCCTCGCTCTCTCGGTACATGCACGCGATCTATTAACTCAGATTAAAGTAAATTTTCCAATTTTTTGTGACTTTCTGACACCAAACAATAGTCGAGAAGTGATTGGCAGTCCGATTTATTCATCTAGGACCATTATTTGACTTCATTCCGGCTATATTTGGGTACATTTGGGTAATTAGTCGGACCCGTTTTGTCTGGTCCATTTGACGTGGACACACCCAGCCTGTAGGACTAATTTGGGGGCGTCCGCTTATTAACTAGCGACTCTTAAATGTATACCAGAATGTTATTCGTACTTGGTAGAATATATTTCAAAGTAACACCCTCCACATCACTTTGAATTTACTAAGGCAGCAGCAAGTTGCTTCTACGTGTGCATTGTTCACCCCATCGACTGAAAAAAAATTCACCTGGAACGAACTATTGCCAGATTCGAGTATTTACCGCTCACTGGCTCGTTCCTGCAGAAATCGGGCAGTTCAGTAATGTTTTTTCATTCGCCATAGTGACCTACTTGCTGTTTCATAAGTAATTATAAAGCTCAGAGAAAGAAGAATCACGCATTTTATTGAAATTAAATACTTTTTTGTTTTAAGATGGTAAGCATGACCACTTAGTGTTTTACCAAATGGCCTTCACACGTACGCGGCCGGCCGATTTGGTCATGGTACCCATGTGCGGTGGGCCGTAGCGTAAGACAGAATGCAAACCAAGTGGATAGTTTGGGTCTGGTCTTGGTTAGCATCTTCTGTCACAAATGGTTAAATTTTTACAAAGGCGAGCTTAGCATACTCGTCCCTGCAGCAAAAAAATGAGCTGGACCGCAGGTCAGTACAGTTGCCCCGGCCCTTGGCTGCCCCTCTCCTCTTAAAGAAAAAAAAGTGTTACAGTAGTGTGTTAGATACAATTCAGATATAATATATTTTAAATTATCAATCACCAGACAATATCGGTACTAAATTTTGAATAGTTCATGATGAACGAGCCAGCTCTATATTTTGATGATTTTTGATAGGGGCCTATTTAAACAATAAAAAGATATAAATGTATTCAGAAATATGATTAGTTACAATATTAGGTATACAGTATTGAGAAAAAATATATCTCGTGTATAGTGTAGAAGTGAATGGAAAACTTAAGAAATCAGATTAAGTTGTATGTTAAAGGTCCCTCACGCGCGAGCTGCAAAAATAAATATTTATCTAATACTTGGAAATAAGCGTTCAACAATTACACACTCGCCGAGTGCAGGAAACTAATACTTAAACAGTACGGTACCTCTCTATGCAGGGATGGTCACGTCTAAGAACATCGTGGAGTCAGACAGCATATTGATTTCTGTAAATATACTGCAAGTCATATTCGGTGTTAGAGAGGTTTATATACAATCATAAACCTTTCTGTAACAAGCGTTTGAATAGATAAATGATGTTGAGTGTAGTCAGTTGTATTGAAGCAAAGTTTCCGTAATATCACCAAGCGTTTTAACTTAGAGCAGAGATATATTCTAACTGATGTACTTTGGTTATGGAAGATGAGTTTAAATGTAACATGGTGGCGGATACATTGTTAGTCGTTACAGAATTGTTAAAAGCGTATGTCAAGCGTTACCAACCGTGGCGTAATCTAAAAAAAAAAATAGGCTAACGGCTCCAAGCTTACTGGCCGAATATTTTACTTGGGGGAAAGCTTATTTAGCGTGATGATATATAAAAGAAAATCTTGTAATTCAGAATTAAACTTGATTTAGAGAAGGCGAATACTGTATTAAACAAGAATCAATATATCAGGAAAACGAAGCATTGGGCAACTGTTTGAATGACGGTTACTGGGGACAGCTGTTGGGGAGGGCGACCACGTGCGCTTGATGCCACCCTCCCCTCTCCCTATTTTCCACACAGCCTGCCTCTGCCCAGTCCCTCTCTCCATTCCACAACTAGTATTGATCCCCACTTTATTGGGCCACAAGTCCTTGTTATTTCAGGTCTCGTTTGCTGTGCACTGATAGGCTTGCCCTTGAAGGATGAATAGGAAGTAGACTACTTTAGGAAGTAGATAGGGGAAGTTAAGTGAAGGCAGGTCATAGGATATCCGAGTGTGTAGTAACAGCGGGCAAGAGTAGTAGCAGATGTGGACCCAGCGGGAGGCGTTAAATGGACGTGGCCACGGCTTTAACGTCCTTGGCTAGTCGCGTCTGTTCACTGGTGGTGCTGTAGCGTCTTTTAAAAAGTGTTTACATGCTCCCTGGTATTATTCTACCCTTATGTTGTTTCCTTATTTTCGTATTAAATGACAAACGGGTGAGATATATTGCTTTTAAACGTTCAATAAATAGTGATTGGTGTATTTTGAACACGCAAATTAAAGTGAATACCAACGAATGTAAATGAAAAAACCCACACGATTTGGTAACTTGTTTTAATTGTCATGCCTGAAGAGTACGACTTTAAAATATATGTTTATACGTTATTTGTAGTCTGAAGCCACATTTATTATTCAGACTAATAAATGCGAATTTTAAATGAATAATAGCTTGTAAATCGGTTATTATTTCGCAAGATGAGAAAGTTCTTGGTTGTAATTAGTGGTGACATTTTGGTCTTTATCTTCCATACCTTCTTGGTTTCATTCCACTTTTCGTCTATTCCCCCTTACACCCTTCATCCCGACCCCTCCATCATCTATTGTGTGTTTCCGCCCAAAAGATTTCGTCCGAGCCTTTTTTCTCTGATTTTGTTTATTGTAAACGAGTAGGCTCG